TGGAGAGAGCAAGAGGGAGGCTCGGGTTTCCCTAGGTGATGGAGGAAGCCAGGTTTTCTACACACCCTGGCTGGCCCAGGCCTTGCTTAAGTCTACAAAGTTTCAAGTACAGAAGATAAATAAATCCCAACAAACAGGGCAGCAGCCATGGAGCTGGAGAGAGAAGGAGGCTAGGGTTTCCCTTGGCAATGGAGGAAGCCAAGCTTTAGTCCTGGCCTGCTTTGGCTTCTGCTTATGGCTACAAAGTTTCAATTGTAGAAGATAAATAAATCCCAGATACCAGGGCCTCCACTTGGGTGGCTGGGTGGTGTGGCCGGCCTGCAAACCACCACAGGCCCCTCACCCAGGCCATCCCACACCCCAAAGGGACCACCACCCTAATCCCGGACACCCTTCAGGCAAACCAGCTGGCTCCAGGCCTCTAACCTATGTAATAAAAGAGTAATATGCAGAATGACCATTACTCCAGCACACAGGATGGCTGCCCCCAATGTGATCAAAGATTCTGCCCCCATGTGGATACAAGATGGCCACCACAAGATGGCCAGCAAGGGAAGGCAGTTGGGAGGGACCAGGCCTACAAGGTAGGGCAGTTGTGGGCTATCAGGCCAAGAGGGGAGGGCAGTTGGGAGGGACCAGGCCTGTAAGGGAGGGCAGTTGGGGGTGATCAAACCTGCATGGAGGGCAGTTAGGGGTGACCAGGCCAGCAGAGGAGGGAACTTGGGGGCAAACAGGCTGGCAGGGGAGCCGTTAGATATTAATCAGGTTGGCAGGGTAGTGATTAGGGGATGATCAGGCTGGCAAGCAGAAGCGGCTAGGGACAATCAGGAAGGAGGCAGGCGAGCAGTTGGGAGCCAGCAGTCCTGGATTGTGAGAGGGATGTCCCAGATTGAGAGGGTAGTCCTGGATTGTGAGAGGGATGTCCCCCATGCACAAATTTTGTACACTGGGCCTCTAGTTGAAAATAATACACTAATAAGTAATGATACCAGAATAAACTCTCTGTTTTTAGTACTCACAACTTTAAACCTACTTTTGCCCACCCCTGTGCACAGGGCTTGAGGAGCATGATCATGCTTCACCTTACAACATTCCCCTGAGGTCTGTAATCTCATATTTCCCTTATTGCCCTGCCTACCTCCATGCAAAATGTTTCTAGTCTAATGGCGTGATCTTAGTGGTGTGGGCCATTGCAAATTGAATAGAGGTACATTGTAATATAGAAATGCCACTAGAAGAGGGGAACAAATTCTCAGCCTAGAGACTGCCACCGGTGGCACTACTACACTCTCAGGCCTGGTGGTAAAGTTCACAGATCTAGACACAAAATCTTGTCAGTGTCCAAAGTGGATTTTACTTGGGCTATGCAGACTTATGCTAACTCCATTGCAGGAGGCTAATTTAGCTTGAATGATTTGAGGCCGTAGAGAGATAGCCTAGCACAGTGGTTGGCAAACTCATTAGTCAACAGAGCCAAATATCAACAGTACAACTGTTGAAATTTCTTTTGCGAGCCAAATTTTTTTAACTTAAACTTCTTCTTCTAACGCCACGTCTTCAAAATAGACTTTCCCAGGCCATGGTATTTTGTGGAAGAGCCACACTCAAGGGACTAAAGAGCTCCATCTGGCTCACGAGCCGCAGTTTGCTGACCACGGGCCTAGCATATGTGAGCAGTACTAGAAGTTTTGATGGAAACAAATACAATGTGAGTCAGTAGAATAATGTGCTTGCCAATAAGGTAAACATATCAGATGCTGAGTTAATAGAGATATGGTATTTCAAGATGAAGGAGGTGGAAGTCCTTGCTTGTATTTATCAAACCACAGAATATTTGTGAGAGAGAGCAATATTGATGCTAAGCCATGTCACATAAAGTTGAAGCTGGTAGGTATACTTTATCCTGAACGGGAGAAGGCTGCCTTCAAATAAGATTTACATGGTTGTTGAGTTTATTTCTTCTGTCCAATCTGAGTACCATCTCTCTTAGTTCAGTCTCTTATCATTAGTCATTTGAATTACTTTTAATAGCCCAAATTATGGAATATAAGAGAATCCACTAAATTCTTGTTAGTTTAAATAGAAAACAAATGCTATTAAGATATATTGGTTAGCTCTCTTGAACAAGATAGGTTGCAGCAGAAACAGGCTCCAGATATCATTATAGGAATAAGTTCCAGAACCACTCACCTGGAAAACAGTCCAAATAAGGAATTGTTACCCAAAATGCACATGTTCAAAGTGTCATGATGAAAAAGATGTGGCTGCTGCCTTCAGTTCCATAACAACATCCTCTTTCTTGCCAACCATGTCAGCAAAATTGATGGCTTACTAGTGGCCTACATCTTTACATAGCTCATTTCTGAATCTACACCTCCTATAAATGCCTTTTATTGGTGGAAACAGCCACATGACTGTACCCTAGTTATAAGGGAGACTGGCAAAATATACAAGTAGTTTCTATAGATTCTTTCTTGGTGAGGTGGGACTAACAATGTGAGGTGTAATAAAGGTAGTGGGCATATACAAATGATGTTGGGCAGCCACGCACGACAGCAGACCATTCTGGTCTACTTGCCTTCTCTCATATTTTTTTTTTATCCTTTAATACCCAAATTCTGGTGAAGACTTCTCTGACTATTCCATTTGTCCTGTTTCCCAAGCATCATATACATTCCTCTATTATAATTATTTCTTAACATATCCATTTTCCGTGCTTGTCCATGGATTATTAGTTTTATTTAAGAAAGATGGCATTTACTAAGTAGCAGGCATTGTCCCAAGTGCTTCATAAATAAATACCTCATTTAATTTGTGTAAAAACAGACCACCTAGCAAAGCTCCTGGTGCATGGTATGTGTCCAGTAAATAAGTGATTCACAAATTAGAAAGTACATATTTCACATCCAGGCATCCAAAGAAAACCTTAGCAAAAATCAAACTACCCTAAGAGAGGGTGGGTGGCCTGCTGAGGTAGTGAGTTCCCTGTTAGTTGAAGTTGATGCAGAACATAGATGAGTATCTGTGGACTACATCAAAAGTGCTATCCTACTTTGTGTTTGCGATTTTTTATTCAACTGTGCTAAATCTAGCCTATGAGAAAGAAAGAAAGAAGAAAAATGTCTTCTGCCTTCAAGTGAGTCATTACCAAGTACGACATACAAATGAGAAATAAGATGATAAGACAGGAAATGCCGGGGTAGAGGCTGTGATAAAGGTGATAGGAGGAATGATCATGTATATATATAAACTAGATTTTTAAGAATTGTCATAGGAGTCACTGCAGTGGGTGCAAATACAGGTTGTGGATTCTGGCTGACACTGCAGTTACTATTTAAGAGAAAGGTGTAGTTTGATTACTTTTCATGGATCATTTGTGTTTGTGTTTTCTCCCACATTGTCATCTATAAGTCTTTTAAATAACTTTAATATTTTTCTTTGCCTATTAGTTTACTTGATTAAAAAAAAAAACCACACAAAACAGTAATGGCCAGAATTACTAAGAGAATAAAGGGATTAAAAAATCAATTAAAAATTGAGGTACAATTTACATATTAAATCTACCCTCTAAAAGTATTCAATTTGTTTTTTAGTATATTCAAAGATTTGTAAGTTTAGAATATTTTTATCACCCGAGAAAGAAATGCCATACCCATCAGCAGTCATACCCCAATCTGCCCACCCCTCCTCCCCCGGCCTTGGCAACCACTAACCCACTTTCTGTCTCTATAGAATTGCCTATTCTGGGCATTTAATATAAATAGAATCATATAACATGTGTCTTTTGTGACTTGCTTCTTTCACTTAGCATAATGTGATTTCTTGGTTCATGCATGTAAGAGTATTTCATTTCTGTTTATAGCTAGATAACATTCACTTGTATGGACATATCACATTTGTTTATCCATTCATTGTTACTTGATGGACATTTGGATTGTTTCCACTCATTGGTGATATTGCTCTGAACATTCATATACACGTTTTTGGTGTGAATATTTGTTTTTGTTTCTTTGGGGTATAACCTGGGTCATGTGGTAATATGTAACTTTTTGAGGAACTACTAACCTGTTTTCCAAAGTAGCTGCATCATATCACATTCTCAACTTTTTCACATACAAACCAACATTGACTGAACCTCAAACAATGTGTTCTTGTAACTGAACATTTTCCCCTTCAATGAGGAATTTTTGTTGTCCCAATATAGGTAATTATATTTCTACCTCTTTTTTTTATTTGCTTTTTTCCTTTTTGTAATGGTTTTTAATTTTTTTTATTTTATTGATTATGGTCTCACATAATTGTCCTTATTCCCCCATTCCCATCCCAAACCCGTCCCTAGATATGCCCCCACCCCCAACCCCCGTTGTCCATGGCCACTGGCTAGGCCCATATGTATGCACACAACCCGCATCCTCCCTTACTTTCCCTCTGAGCTTTGAGAGTCTAATCGCTGCTTCTCTTTCTCTGGGTCTGTTTATGTTGTTCATTATTTCCTCTAGATGTGTGAGATTTGCTTTTTCAAATCCACTAACTTCTTATGAAATTTTCTTCAGTTATATATATATATATATATATATATATATATATATATATATATATATATATTTCATAATTTATAAACCATATTTGCTCCTCTAAATAATAGTGATCCTAGGGGAGCATATACCAAATAATAAAGTATGTGTTTGTTAGTTATTATATTTATTTTTGCTATTAGGGCAAATAAATAGCTTTGCTAAGGCTGTTTGATGTATATTTATGCTACAAACTGCCAATTTATTCTGTGGGATAGTTAAAATTTTTCTTTTCTGCTTATTATTTGACTAGGTAGAGATATGAGACATGAATATATGGTAGATTTTATATAAGATTACAGTATCTAGAGTGGAAAATAATAGCAAAGGATCCACAAAAAATAATAAATATTAATATTTATTCATCACTTTTGAAACTCTTAAGCAGAAATTTGCTAATGTTCCCCAAAATGTTCTTTCTAACAGGAGGACATGAACCTCAATGAAGAACGAAAAGCTCCTTTACGAAACAAAGATTTTACCACCAAGCACGAGATGGTTGTCCAGTATATTTTTGCTACATCCAAATCTGTAAGTAGTCTTTCCTGGCACTAACATAATGAGCTTAGCATTATCTGCTTAAAAATAAACTGCAGATCTTCAAGTTCTTGCCTCACTGTACTCATAGCCTATTTGGGAAAAAAATTATACAAGTATTTTTACACATTTAGTATATATTTCAAAAGTGTTCAAAATTAGAGAGAATTCCATTATAAACAGGACAAACTAAATACAGAAGGCTCTGAGTTAATCCAGTGAGTCCTAGGGTGGAGGATTTGTGTGCTTACTAAAAACTGACAACAATTTGCAGATATTCTATTTAATATACAGTTTGTTACATGAAAATTTTAGATTTTGAGGGTGAAGACACAAATATGGCCTAGTCATAAGCTTTGACTAAGTTTATCCAAAGCTACATGCCTGGGTCTGCTTGCATGAATATTTTAATATTATTTTCAATATGCAGTTTTGTTTTTTCATTATTTTACATAATACTATGTAAACTACCTTGTAATTGTTATTGTACAGCTTAATTTGACATAAAGAAGGTTGCTTAATAGGAGCTTTAATCAGATCTATGTGAGTCTAAAAATATTTGAAGTGGGGTTAGTATAGGTTTGTTTTTATTTTTTATTTTTTGTTAAAAACAAGTATTTTTGAAATGGGGAAATGCATTGTTTATATACCTATAAAGAACCACATGACCTCACTCATTTATGGATAATAAAGAACATTATAAACTGATGAACCAAAAGATAGATATAGAGACAGTTAAGCAACAAGCAGACTGTCAAATTATAGTGGGGAGGGGAGGGAGATCGGGGGAGATAATAGATCAACCGAAGGACTTGTATACATGCATATAAGTACAACCAATGGACATAAAACTCTGGGGAGGGAAAGTATGTATGGGAGGGAGGGAGGGGGACAAAAAAAATCAATAAAATATATTAAAAATAAATAAATAAATAAATAATGAATTAAAAAACCCTTTTTCTATTTTGAGATCATAAAATCACTATGTATGTATATATTACTTATATGTGTGTATGTACACACACAAACACACAGTGATTTTATGTGTGGTATGTATATGATATGTGTGCATGTGTACACACACATACATATATGCATTTCCATGCATATTTTAAATTTAAAAAGCTGACTGGAGAAGAAAAGAGTTCTTCATTGGAAAAGTATATTCTAAAATTATTTGGCTCTCCTATTAATGCTATTTCAGTACAGTAATTGCAGTGGCAAATCTGATGCATTTCGCCCTGAATTCTACGATCATATTGATTCCATATTATACTTTAAGCAAGCTAAATCCAAATGCCGAACTATTTAAACATAACGCATTGCAACTCTGCCAAAGCAGAACAACAGCATGTTTTTTTTAATTTGCTTCTGGTATCCAAGGGCAGAAATATGTTTCAACTGATAAGTGAAATTTGCCATGAGCGTCCTTTTCAATAGAATTAGGTGATGCATAGGGTTTTACTTTGAAATTCTGATGAATCTCTTCTCATTTTGCACTCAAGTTATTGTTCACAGTAAAATGCTTTAGGAAAATGCAGGCTGTGCATTCAGTGTTATTTTTCAAATACTTAAAGGCAAATACAGGAGAGAATCTATATAACCAAATCTGAGTGCAAAGTACAGATAATAATATATGAATAATCATGCCATATTTTTAATGAGATGATTTTGTTAGTGCTTCTGGTTCATTTATTTTTGTTTTGGTTGTGTCAGTGGGGCTGAATGTAATGAACATTATATGAAGCTCTCCTTCACCTTTTGATTTTCACTCTGTCACTATGTAGAACTTGTCATTCTTTCTCATATTGTTTCCTTTTCAAATGACCAAAGAAATGGACAATTTAAGTCATACACTTATTTTTCAGATTTAAATGCTAAAATTTGGGGAAAGGTGCAATGAGCTCTCTTGAATTGCTTTATTCAAAAAATGGAAATTCAGTATTTCTTAAAAGACATTGAAAATCCTAAATTTAAGCCAGGCGTTCACCTCAAAGTCAGTACTGTAACTCTTTATTGTATGACCTTTGTTTCATTCAACATACATATGAGCATCTGACACGTGTCCAGCACTTTCATTAGAGTTCCAAGATTATACGTTTTTATTTGCTAATATTTTTTAAGGAGCAAATATCATGGTGAAAAAAAGCCTGTTGATAAGCATGTTTTAAAGCTCCCTCACCTTGGGGAGCCATTAATTAGTACTGTTAAAACAAAGAAAACTGCTTATGTAATTTCTTTATGAAGGTGAGAGGAATGCCATTCAGTGACAAACGATTCTCTCACCTTTTGACCTCTTCATGATTATGACAATAAAATTTGCATAAGTTGTAACCTATGGCTGTTTTCCCATGTATAACCAAGGTTCCATCCTGCTTGCACATCTTATACATTATTATGCTTGCATTTTCATTATATCGATACACTGCTTAAAAATGTTTTCTCATGTAAAGTAAACAGGATTCTAACCACTTCTTTATGGAAATTATTTATATGTAGTCAAAACTTTCATCTTGAACTAAAAGTAAGTTAAGGGCTAGATACCTTGGTGGAAAAAATATTTTATAGTCACATGTAAAAAAAGTGCGAATTACAGTTAAATTGAGACATTGTATATTTCCCCCTCTCACACCTGCATTAGTTATTTTCTATGGCATTGAAAAGAAACAACATGTGAGCTCAATAGAAAATGTCCATCATCCGTCTGGGTGCCTGTAAGGACAGTAAAGCAAAATGAAACTATACATAGATATGTACTCAAAACCTGTTTCTAAAGCAAACAAGAGACTATTGTTTAACTTTGCTAAAATTAGCATGGAATCAGAGAATATAAAGGAAATTAAAAAATAATAATAATAACTTTTGCTTAGTTTTTCCCTCTTCAAGTCCCACAATAGAGAATGTTATGTTGTGTGAATATTAAAGGCAAAAGTAGCGTGAGTAACTGTTGGAGATGAATGAACTTTAAATTAGGGAGCAGAGAGGAACATTTCCTCTGCACCAACCTGGCTGGCTTGCTCATTGTAGCTTGCGCGATGCTGAACCTGACCTCAGATAGTTGGTACACGTAGGTCATTTGGCCACAAATAAACTGGAAGAGTCTCTATTTTAAACACCAACATATGTTTTCAGAAATGGAAAACCAGGCTTTAGGAACATTGCAAATGTTGTCATACCAATTCATAATCCTGAAACAGGGCAGAATACATCAGTGGTTTAGAGGGCATCTTGCATGTTATTATCAGAACAGCCTATTTCAGCAATTGTGAGGAAAAATTAGTTACTGAAATCCTAACCGTAGCTTGCCACATGCCAATGTCCTTATTAGAACATTAGAAGCAAGTTCATTTCTAACTTAACTCACAATCTTTAAAATTGATATTTAAAAATATGTAAAATTATATTTTTAAAGACACATGAGCCCTTGACAGGTATCATTGATTGAAAAAAAAAAAAAAAAAAGGTCTCAATAGGAAATAATTTCAGACGAGATCGGGCGCGTTCAGGGTGGTATGGCCGTAGACTCAATAGGAAATAATTTCAAATAGTGATAGCAAATATATCTATAGATTTTTTAGATTGACCTGTATAATAAGCAGTTAAAGTGTGTGTGTGTGTGTGTGTGTGTGTGTGTGTGTGTGTACATGTTTTATGGCTTTGATTTTACCATTATAGATATTTTCTTTCTCAGGTCTTTTTTTTCCAGGCATGCTCTGGATTTGGTGAAACACCTGAACCCAAACATTACCAAACCAGTTTTTCTTAGCTTTCCTCTGCCAATCGTATCTGGTCGATGTATGTGCTTCAGCTAAATGTAGTCATTTTTCAATCTGAATGAATCATTAAATGGGCCATACTCTGGTCATTTCACTGGATGTAGACCTACCTTAATTGTTAGGACAAGCTGGCATTCTTTTTTCTGTCTGTGCTAAATAAACAAGGGACAAATACGTAAGACTACTATCTTTTTGGTGGGAGGAAATAATTTAGGTAAATAGCATATCTTTCAATTCAGAACACTGTTAATGGCACCAAAGAGGCTTTTATTCAACTCAATAATCACTGCCTGTAAATAGTCTGTTGAGTGAATATTTAAGAAAGCTGCTTCTCTCTCTGGAGATTCATGGATTCCTCTAAAATCATTTATTTGAAAACTGTCATTATCATTTTGTATCTTGTGGTATCCTATTCAATTTAGGATTCTTACTGGAATTTCAATTATATTTGATCTTTTTAAAGTACTGGCTGGAAAATAGAACACATATTGATAACTTCTATCAAATTAATGGTTTTATATTGCAGATTAGCATTTTTTTGGACATTGCTTGATATTCATGTGTAGAAATCTGATAACAATGATTTGATTTATGTTTGGATTTTGGCATTAAATTATGTTTAAGACTTTGATTTTACTTCTTTTTAAAACACAATTCTGCCTCTCAGAAATTCTCTTATCTCTTATCCATTAGAAAAAGCTCATTCAAAGTTACAATTTTGAACTGTTCCTTCCTTATGAATATCTGCATGTTTAGATATAAAATGCTTCTTTGTCTTCATATGATATGGAAAAATCTGATCTTAGAAATGCTAAAGTGACCTAGAAAATGAAAATCATAAGTGATCTCTCTTCTTTATAATTTTCAAGTATAATACAAAATATTATAAACTAAATTTATAATAATATAAAATATTCCAGTTTTCAACCTAACTTTCATTTCTTAACTTAGTACATGATGTTGCATGCAATGTTTATATTCTAAAATACCTTATTTCAACCTTAAGGTTATACTTGTTATAACAGGGAAAAGAAAAAAACAAGCAATGTTTGGGAAGAAGTAATTTTCTGTTGATAAGTTTTGGAGGGGCTGTGGGCTGGTAAAATATCTGATGCCTAATTACACTTAATCTTGCATTACTTGGTGTTTGATTGCACTCTATGAGAATTCCATCACATACATTTAAAAAAACATACACCTCAAATTGTAATATTTTTTTGGGGGGGGGAAACCTTCCACAGACTTAACACATTTTTGAAATGTGTTAGAAATGAATACTGATTATATATATTGAGTTTGTAGAACTAAAGTATTAAAACATACATAGGGTTAGCTATTTACTAATTTACTAAACACTTAACTTTTGTAAAAAGCTTCTAATTACTAATATGGTTGCTGTTTGTTTTTGTTTTTTGTTTTACACCATAACCACTCTCCACCGATCACTGCATGCAGATAGTTGGAAGTAAAGTTACGGTGAGTACAAAAGATGTGTTTTATCCTTAGATGTGAATTTGTGCTTTTTGGAATGGAGTGACTTTTGCTTATTGTGTTTTATATGCTCCGTTTTTCTTTTGGTGTATATTTTACCAAAGCAGCCAGATGAACATTATGATCAGGTGATTACAATTTAGCTATGATAAGTATTTTTACTGTGGTCTTGGAAAATGTTCTTATACATTTTGTCTTAGAAAGTTTTATTATTTTTAGAACTGTGCTTGTGTCAGTCTTTATGATTCTGATAAAATTGCATGTTGTATCTCATTTTCTCATGGTGGCAGGGGAAGGACTCTTAAAATGTTGGTTTATGCTAACAGGAATTTTTTTTTTAATGTGTTGTTTTGATTTAGTATCACTGAGCACATAGTGTTATGAAAAAAATCCTTGGTGTTCAGTCAGGAGATCTGAGTGCCTTTATTTGTTGGATACTATTAATGGGCTCTGTGACTTTGGGCAAGTCATATAATTTCACTGTGGCTCAGGTGTTAAATAGATAAACTGAAGTGATTGGCTTATCTTGTCTTTTTTTTTTTTAAAGAGTTTATTGGTATTTTAGAGAGAGAGAAAGGGGTGAGAGAGAGAGAGAGAAGGTTAATGTGAGACCGTAACATCCATCAGTTGCCTCCTGCTCGTCCCTTACTGCAGGGGATCTAGCTGCAAATCAGGCAAGTGCCCTGACCTGGAATGGAACCAGCAGACTTTTGGTGCACTGGATGATGCCCAACCAACTGAGCCACACTGAACATGGCATATTATCTTTTAAGACTTTGTTGCTATCTTTTAAAAGTGTTATATTCAAAGCACTGTATTTCAATGGTATAATTACATGATACACTATTGCATAATATACCAAAAAGGCCTGTATTGTAATTGAGAGCCATCTGTAATCACTTTGCCTTCATGACTAAGCAGTCTGTGGGAGGAAACATCTTTAACATCACTGTGTACGATGGTATCCAGAATAGTGAATGTGTTTAACATTTGTTTTGCTTTAAAATTTTGCTTTCTTCTTTTCTCTTTTGTAGTTCAAAGTGACATCTAGGGGGAAAAAGCCATCACTCTTTCAGTACAACTGAAGAAATCAGCACATATTTCATTAGTGCTTGTTATGTGCCAAGAACTGTGCTAGGTGCATTGCTGATTAGAAAATAAGAATGAGATAAGACCTTTTAGTTTCAATAATATATGTTGAAATAATTAAACCTTCCATTGTGCATGCTGATTGTATATGTACAGCATGTCCTCAAATAACATTGTTTTGTTCAGCATTGTTTCATTATGACATTGATGAGATACTGTAGGAACTTAACTCTTGTTTATATCAGTTAGTCTGCGGTAAAATTGGTTTCCTTATATGTCATCTCACTTAAAATTACAGTTTCCAAGAACCTAGGGATAATGTTAAATGAAGACTTACTGTAATGGGTATTCATATATATAGGAGAGAGAAGTAGAGTTAGAGTAATTAGAGAAAACTCCATGAAAATTTCTGCACTTAACTGATGGCTGAGATTGGACTAGGGAGAGAAGACTATGGAAGCTTCCTGATTAGGGTAGTGATATTCAATGCAAAAGTTTAGAGGAAGAACCAAATCATGTTGGAGGTGGGGGCAGGGAAGGTGAAAGCCAGATATGAGACTGAGTTTGTGAGAACAAAGAATGTATATTGCAAATAATGAAAAATCAATTTGAAAGAGGATCTCAAAGTCCAGGCAGAATATTAGAAATTAGTTTGAGCTAAGTTAGCCAGGGTTTAAGAAAAATAATTTTGATAGTAGGTAGGCTGGATTAGGCTAATGGTTCTCAAACTTGAAAATGTATCAAAATGCAGTTTTTATCCTTTTTGGGATACAAGAACTCTGCATTTCATACCAAGCACCACAGGAGGTTTTGTTAAGGTAGACTGAGGAGCACACTTTGAGAAATACTGGATTATGATGGAGAGAAATTTGTTTGGGGGGCTACCCAGGAGACTTGTGTGTGAGTCAGTGAGGACCTGCATTGAACTGAAGGGTAGATATAGATGGGTGGGTTTTGTGTGATAAAGGAATCTTAAACTTATTTAAATGTGAGCAGGAGCCAGCCTACATTTCTGATCTTGGCACCATAAACAATCCAATGGCTTATGCCAGAAACCACATCCAATGACCAAGTTCTATGACTATTTTCTCTAAGTAACTCTTAACTCTCTTCCCTAATAACCTACACCACAGACACCTTAGTTCAGAGTCATCATTTCCCACACCAGTATTGTCCTAGCCTAATGGGTAGTCTCCCAGTCTTTGTCTCATTGGGCTCTTGCATGTTCTACCCTGTTTTCCCAAAAATAAGACAGTGTCTTATATTAATTTTTTCTCCCAAAGTTGCGCTAGGTCTTATTTTCAGGGGATGTCTTATCTTTCCATGTGCTAGGTCTTATTTTCGGAAGAGGTCTTATTTTCGGGGAAACACGGTACACTGTGACTAGAGATCCTGTTTTCCTTTTCAAACTTTTAGATGGTTCCCTGTTGGCCTTTGTGGCCTTAACACTGCATCCTTTCTAATTTCATCTCCAGCTCCATTCTTACATGTGCCTGCCATCTGCTAATACAGCAGCATTTACAAATTCCTTAACATCCTATTCTTTAATATTTTTAAATCAAGCATATTCTATTTCTTTGAGCTGGAATGCCCTTTTCTTTTCTAACTTGCTCAGCAAGCTCCTAAATATCTATTCAAATTAAGCTTCATGTCAATCTTCAAAGACGTTGTCCTAGACAACTATTTCCTTCCCATAGCACTGTGTATATAAATGTATTATAATATTGAACATATTTTATTTTAATAAATCATTTATATGTCTACCCCAATGAACATTGCTCCTGCTCTCAAAATGCTACGTCTAATGGGGAAGACAGATAGGTAAACACAATAAAGGCAGGGTCTGAAGATGCAATGTAACAAAAGTTGCAAAGTGGCAGGCCATTAGGCTGTCTGTGGTTCATGGAAAAGTTTCATTTTGTCTGAGAACGTTTTGAAAGACAGTATGAGATAGGTGTTATGATTGATCTGCAATATAAACTATTTCATATCCATTGTCTATGACCTGCTTCTCACACTGGAGTTTGCAAACCCTGCGATAAAGGAAACAGGAATCAGCTTCTAGAGGAAGTGATGAGGGATTAATTCTAGAAGTTTAGGTGGGAGGCATGCCTAAAGGGAGATTTTTGTTGTTGTTGTCTTAAGACTGGAGAGAGGAGTGGATAAACAGTATTTACAGCCACTCTGGTGAAAGTCAGGTACAAAAGGCCTTATTTTTCACGGTCTCATTAATTTTCACAAGAGGAGAATATCTGTTCATTGATAAAATGGGCAGCTAAGAATTTCATAGAACTGTTGCAGAGAGAAGAATTTGTAGAGTAACCACTTTAAGAATCATGGTTACCTAGAAATTACATACTTTGTTAAAAAAAGTGAGTGATAGAGAAGACAGAATGAAATTGGAAAGGTGGGATATGTAATGAACAGGCCTGCCTGACCCTGTCTTTCTTTTGTCTCTTCAGTGTTGATCAGGAGCAGAAATGGAGGCATTTGAGGCCTTCTGATCTTGAACTACTGCCACTTGTGCTTTTCACTCTTCCCTTTTATTAATTTTACTTGAAAAATCAGACTGCAAAACTGCCTGTTACATGAGCATAACCAACCTCTCAGCCTCATGCAATCTTGCTTCTGACATTGCTCATCTGATTTTTTGTTTTTGTTTTGGGGTGTGTGTGTTTGTGTGAGTGTGTGTGTGTGTGTGTGTGTGTGTGTGTGTGTGTGATGGAATGTTTCCCTTTGTCTACATTTTGCCCATCCTCTATGGCTCTTCTATGAAGCCTAGCCTGATTCCTATCTTTATCCCCCTGCCACCCGATTTCTACCTAATAATTTCCCTGAATTTTTGTAGCACTTTCTTTTCTATCTCTTATGGAATCACTTTCTACCTCATCTTATACTTTCTATTACATTTTATGTTTCTTAAGGGCTTCTCTTATAATACTCCTATTTTACTTTATAGCAGTGATTTTCAACATTTTATGTCTTATGGCACATATAAACTAATTACTAAAATTCTGTTGCACACCAAAAAATAGGTGTAGTTTTGATTAAATTTATATCAGATGGCTATTGTCATTTTTAAATTTGACAATCTAAGGGAAAAGAGGTCAGTGCCCTTGACTAAATAGTCAGGTATTGCACATTTTAAAAATTCTCAAGGCACACCAGTTGAAATCACTGCTTTATAGTAATATATGCCTTGAATAATACTGTCCTTCTATGGGTCTGTCTTTTTATAGACTCTGAAGGGATGCAAATTTTAGTAGCAATCATGGGTCTATAGGCAAATAGACCTGGGTTCAGATTCTCATTCTATCACATACTAGCTGTGTGACCCTAGATAATTTACTTAACCTCTCTGAATCTCAGTCTCCCATCCATAAAGTGAGGATAATAGTACTAAATTCAAGATGGTTTTAGAGTTTACTGTTTATATTTAATATATTTAGCACATAAAGAAGCTTGCAAATAGGAGGTCTAAATTATATTTTTTGTTAAATGTATTTGATTCTTAAAAAAAAACCAACTTTGTATGGGAAACATAAAAACAGAAGAGGACACAGTAATATTAGATAAGTATATGAGCTGCCTCTTTTATTGGTGAATTATTCAAGGTCTGTGCTATTTGATAGTACTTATTCTGGCCCCAAAATGGTGGGGAGGTTTAGCTGGATGGATAAGGGAGAATGCTTCACCTATTTATCGGAAGCTATGTGTTATGTGGCACAGATTATTGTTGAGCTTTGAGAAAAAAATTCATATGTGGTCTCAAGACAATATTCACAAAGTTATTTTAAACATTTAGCAAGACAGTTGAATACTTGTTATGGATACTACCTATGCAGGGAAATGATACAATGTCTTCTTCTAGATATCTTAAAGTGGCAAAAGAGAAT